CCAGGGCACTGTGTTCTGCTCTTCCTCAGGATCGCTCTCTTGACATCCCGGAGTTTACTGTTGCTAGGTTTCTCTTTACAGTATGCAATTTACAGTATGTACTGGTTTTTATCTATCTTCTACTCACGGTTGCTGTGGCATCAGTTTTTGCATGCAATAACAAATGACTCATTTTTATCACTCTATAACATTCCATTCCTTCCAATATATTATCACTTATTGCTGTTTATGAACATTTGTGTAGTTACTAGCCTGGGACTTTCCCAAATAATTGCACCCCGAATGTTTTTGTAGTCTTGTATAAGTCATATACATGTAATTTTGCTGGATGTATTCCGACGTAGAACTAACGTATTGTGAATGCAGATGATAAACTTAGGAGATGGTACCCAAAAGATTTACAAAGTGTTTGTGCTGATGTACACTCCCATCCTCCACCCGAGAATCCACAGCACTACACAGCAATGTTTGCTCTGATCTTCTGCCTGCACTTACTGGCCATGCGGGTCGATGTGGCAGGTGGATTTCTACTTACTCATCTATTTTAGGCGTTATTTAATACTGGGTGGAAACATAGCGTATCCTTTTCCTTTTCTCTTCCGTCTTCTCTCCAATTTTAATGATTGTATTTGTTTCAGTTCATTAATGTCTACGGTTATAATTCTGATGCCATTAACTTTAGTCATTCCTTTTTAGACTTAAAATTTTGAGGAGATTTTTGAGTAATATATTTATAAAGAAAAACCTTCTATAAAAACGTATGCTTACTGTAACAATGAAGAATAAAGCCTTTGCTGAAAATTCTGCTAACAGCTGTATTACAGAAGAAATAGAAATCTTGGACAAACGGAGGATTTGGTCTGTTCCATATTGAATGAATGACTTACAGGAAAAGTTAAAAGCAGGAAGGATGGAAAGGAGTGAGAGGAGGAAATGGGGGAAAGAAATTAGAATGAAGAGTAAAGAGTGAAGGGAAGACGAGGTGGGGGACGAAGAAAGAAGGAAGAGGCAGGCTGGCTGGTCTTGTGTGTTTTCTACTGGGAGGAGTTGAAGGAGTGTGGAGCCCTTGAGATGGCATGCCAGCAAGTGTGACAGGCAGAAATTTGAGTGTTTTTTCTCCCAAGAAGGAAGATTTCTTTTTTTCAAAAGTATCACCTAGAGAATTTGAGGCACATGGACATAAATCAGGACAAGGCGGTTGTTCCTCTTCTTGATGTGTAGAATGGCTTTGTGAGATTTTGTGCTTGAGTTACAGTGATAATTGTTCCAAGTGTCACGCTTGTTTGGCCTGCGTGAGTTTCAGCCCTCAGATTTGCTCCGCAGAATCTAATCGTGAATGAAGGCAAATTGGACATCCTCTCCCTGCTTTCTGGGTGTTGACCACTGCCACTTTGTCATGGTGGAGAAGCGTTTAGGGGACTCACAAAGAATGGCCCCAAATTCACTAAGTACGAACCATTTTGAAATTTCTCTTAGTGTGCAATTGTGTTGATTCTGGCTTTGCTCTTCCAAGTATATGAGCGTGTAACTGAGCAGCTGAATGTTGTCTGAAAAACCTCAACAATTTCTCTTCCCTTAAGCCAAAGACCATGTTCAGATCCTCAGTGCTTATCATGGTTAACATAACACATATTAAATAAGTGTGACTCTGGAACTTAAAAAAGTTGGAAGGCTCATATTTCAGCTTGGTTTATAAGAACAGACTTCCTAATGATGAAAGCTGTTTTAAATAAGGAAATTCTTCGCTCATGAGAGAGAAAATGCTTCATGCAGAATGCTGAACAGTTAAGCACAAGTGGAATGACAGTTTGTAAGATGTTTGAAGTCGGACTGATTGGTCTCTGAGTTGCTATGAATCAATATACTGTATTGCACCAAATATGAGATGCCGTCTCGTTTGTTTTAAATCCTGATTTCAGTGGAATTAAAATGTGAAAAACTGACGGTGCTGAAACTGATGAAAATGGCTCATATTCTCTTATTTTGTGAGGTGAGTTTTGTTATTGATCATAACCGGGTAGTCTCCATCACTTCCTCTCTGCCCTCCCCTCCCACACATTGCTTGGTCTTCTTAGATTCTCATATGCCTACAAGCTTGCATTTCCTGAGTATAAGAAAAAACATTTCCTATGAATGTTTCTACCAGAAAGTGCATGGCCATGTAACAGCCTATAACCAGTTTATTCTGGTAATAGACTCATCAACAAACCAGTTTGAATATGTCAGCTATGACAGGGTGGTTCCAGCTCTGATGGAGAACTGTTGGCAGTTGGTATTTTCTGGAGAATTATCTTGGAATGCCAAAATATATCTTCTAGAAGATTTTAAAATACTACCTTTTGATACATCATTACAAATATACACATTTTAATTTTTAAATAAACTGCTTCTCAAGGAGCATTTTTTGCCTTTTATTTTGCCCTACTGGTTTATGCACTTTTTAAACGTCTAGAAATGGTGTCAGGAGAGAAGGGTCATATGATACTTTGTGTTCTTGAATTGGTTAAACAGCCATGTTTTGTGATAAAAACCCAGTCAAGTTAAGTTGCTCTAGATATGGTTTCCAACCTTAATGCCAGAATCCTAAAACTGGTGATTTCCAACGTGTTCTTTCCTTTGTTGTTGCCATTCTTGACTAACTTCCTAGAAGTAAGATAGATGTTCAACCTAGTTTTCCAGTAGCTCTGGGTTAGACACTCTGGTAAGATAAATAGACATCAAAAGGCTTCTCAATTTGCTTAAATCTCATCTAACTCAACGTTTACACGATTCCCAGGCACTTTCAATACTTGTCAAGTGCAAAATGAAACGTCGAAAAGATCGTCTTCAAGAAAGTCTTTAAAAACAACAGCCCGTGGTAAGGGCAACTGAAGCTTGTTTTGAGATGTTTTTAATGATATGTGTGGTCACCACTCGTCTTTAATCTTCCTAGGTGTCAAGAAAAGGACGTGTAGTTTGCTTGGTGCTCCTTGGCGTGGTGTCACATTCACTCCTGGCAGTTACTCAGGGACACAGTCATTTTCTTACAGTGAGTTGATGTGTGTGAATTAGACTCCTGGATGTCCCCCAGTACATTCCTCGATGATTTGCCATGATATGGAAGTGAAAGTCCCTCTTTCTCCTTCCTAGTGAAGGGAGGTGTTGTCCTTATACCTACGGCCAACTTGCAAGAGGCCCAGGTTAACACGCAAGGGTTTCACTGCTGGCGGAGTTTCTACTCTGTGTAGGCGACTAAGGAGAAACAAAAGACTTTTCAATCTTAAGTTTTTGACTTCAATTCTACATGCAAAAACATATTTAGTTTCCAACCTGTTCTTTTTGAACCATGCAAGAGCATTGTGTTTTATTCATTTATTTATTTTGGTGATGGAGAGGGATCTGGACCGAGTAGCTGTATTTTGATGAAATGTCACTAATAATTTCGAACCCACGAACTTAGGTGGGAAGCGAGGAGGACACGCAAGGGAGCCTGTGGGTTCTCATTAAGTGCCATTGTGTGTTGCAAACATTGCTGAGCGTCTCATTTGGTTTAATAAGAGAGTATGATTTCTGGACATAGTGTTGTTTTTCGCAGGTAGATGTATGCTCGGAGCGTGCCCTTGCTTCCGTTGATGATGGAAGCCGTTGCCCAGGTGCACGGCTGTGCAGGTTTAGAGCTCAGTAGCCCATTCCTGTAAGCCTTTCCAACCCTTCGCTTCATCAGACTCACTGCCGACAGCTAGCGATGATTTCCACAACTAGCTCCACACCAATTTTCCGGCAGTATTTATCACTTCTCTCCTTCCCTCCTAATCCCCCTCCACCGTTCCTCCTGAGAGCATTCAAGTAGAAGAATTTCAGAAAAAAGAAAGAAAGAAAATATATCGGTGGCCAGCACAACATAAAAGCAAGCAGGCAGCCTTTCAACCGCAGCGACGGTAGGTTTTGCTGCCTTCAGTAATGAGGACGGCCGTTGTTTTTGCTGTTGTAGAGCTGCGTGCCCCCAGCTGCCCTCTCGCCTCTGATCAGGGCCCTTCCCGAACAGGAGGAGAGCTGGGCCTAGTGGAATAACTGACCCAAGAGACCTGAGGGGCTGCACACTTTCCTTGTAATGAGCACAAGGCAGCCACGTGACAGGCTCGCAAGGGGGAGAACACACAAGATGCTGAGTTCACTCACATATCCATCGTATCCATCATCGCACACCATCTTGCACCATCCACCCAAGGCCCAGGAGAGAAAGGGTCAAAGCTCAACCTTCCAAGAATGCTCCTTTGCTGCAACCCAAGAGTGCATTTAATTGTGGATGGAAATAGCCAGGGGAGCTTTTAAACAATCCGATTCCCAGGCCACAGTCAGGCCTATTAAATTAGACTCTTAGGAATCGCAGCAATAAAAACATGATAAGTATTCAGGTAACTGCTGCGCAGCCAGGGCTGAGAGAGCCAGTGCGCAAGGCTGAGCAAGCGAGAAGGACGGAGAGTGATGTCGGCCCAGGAGTTGAGGCTGCCTTCCCCAGAGGACACTTAGACGTTTGTTGCCAAGAGGCAAAAAGGGAAGAAGGAATGAGGAGAAAGTTTGACGCCTTCTGCTTTCCTCTAAGTCTACTAGAGTCTCCACCCAGCCTGTGTGCACACGCAGCTGCTGATGGAGTAAGGTTGGCTCCCAGCTCTGGGAGAGGGCCTTGGGGTAGCTGTAGATTGCTACCCAGCTGCGTATCGGTAGCTCCAGGCGTGGGCCGACCGTCCCTCGGGGAAGGCGGCGGCCACGGGGTAGACAGCAATTCGGGGGCGCAAAAGCAAGCGGTCTGGAGCGCAGGTGGCGCCAGCAGCCTCAGCCGGCGGTGTAGCCAATCGCGGGCGCAAGCGCAGCCGTGTGGCAGCGGCGGTAGGAGCGCGGGGCTCTGGCAGGAGGCAGCCGAGGCTAAGGCGGCGCCGACCCAGAGCTGCGCGCAGGCTGGAAGGAGACCCGCGGCCAGGAGCCAGCCAGAGCGCTTCCCAGCCGAGCCACGCCAACTTAGC